ATCCCAAGGTGCCGAAGTCCACGTAATGAAGGGAAAAAATGGGCTAAGTCTCCTGCTTTCAAAAAGGAACTTAACGAAAGCTTTACCCAAGAAGAAGTAACAGGTATCAAAGATTCAAATTCTGATAAAGGGGATCTTTTAGTTGCTAAAGAGGACTCTTCTAAAGAACTGATCCATGAAGAGACTTGTAGATTTGTACAGAGCTCAGAAATGGACACAACCTCTGCTTCTTGGCAAGAAACCGTTGAGACAGAGAAAGGCCGTAAACCATTCTTTCGAGCTCATCAATGCAACACAAATACTGCTGGTAATGCTATTCCTTGTGAAAACTGCGAAACAGAATCAAGTAGAGATGCTGTGGAAGATTCAAGTGTCAAGAGCCACGAAGACTCAAACGTCCAACATTCTGACAAAATGCACAACCCAGTGCAGCAATATGTGTCTTGTTCTCTGTCAGGTAATTATTTTTGTCATTCTGCTGTCTTACTTCTTTTAAATTTATCACTTGAAGTTTCTTTGCACGGGGCTGCAATTAGGTTCTTTGCACATTCTTCCCATTCTTCCCAGATTTCCAGATATACCGTTACATTCAAGTTTATAGAGTAATCCCTCGTGCCATACCTTGTCGAGTGCCTTAGAGAAATCGAGAAAGACAGCACGTGTTTCCCTGCTAGGAGTTTCTTCAAAACCAGTGTAAATTTTAAGGGTTATGGATAGTAATTGATTAATTGTTGAGTAACCAGGCCGAAAACCCGATCCTTATCAGGGGTGGATCCTTATCACCAAACGTAACTATCCTATTGGAAATCTAGGAGGCCAGTGTAGTGTATACAGATTCAGTAGAGACTTCAGTCATTTTCTCTGGTTTAAGGGTATCAAACCAGATATTCCAATTTATAGCCCGTAGATCATTATGAATGTTCTGTATATTTGCCTTAGAGTTATCCCAGATTGTTCTTTTGTGTGGGGGTGGGGAAGGTATGAAAATGTTCATTCTGCCATACACTATTTTATGTTGGCAATGCTCATCCAAGGAGGGGTGGACCCCATCAGGGTTGGTAGATTCTTTTGGGGCTTAAAGCCAAATCAATGTTGGAAAAAAGCCAAATTAAGCCAAATTGTAAACGAGGCAGCAAAACAATAGAAAATTTCATGTTGTGAACGAGGCTAGAAGTAAACATCGAGAGGATACTGATCAAGACATAGAAAAGGAACAAACATTATTTCATAACGATTTGCAGTGTAGTAAAAAACATAATTATCATACAAAAGGGTAAACTATTTCATCTTCCTCAAGGTCTTTTAAGTCAATATTGCTCTCATCATACATGTCTTTTGAATTAAAAAGCTCAAGCATTTTATCTGTTGCCTTAAAATCTTTGCAACACCTTCCGGTAAAATGCAAGTGTGTGCGGATCCTGACAATTGTATCCAAGACTTTCGACGACATCCTGTTGCGCTGTTTTGTCTTGATGGCTGTAACATACGAGAATACTCTCTCCACAATGGCATTGCTGACTGGTAGCGATAAACACGACAGTGCATACTCTGCGAGCTCTTTGAATGGCTTGCTTCCTAAAAAATTCTGGTACTGCAACACACCAAGCCAGAACGCAACAGTTGAATCGGGAATCTCTCCTTTAAACACATTTTCATCAACCCAGTTGATGAGAAGAACCTTCCTGTATTGTTCTTCTAGGACATCTGATTTCACTGCTCGTAAATGAGGAAACGGCAGGTTGTTGAAAGGGAGTCGATCAGTTTGGCTCAGAACTTTCCCTGGATATAGGTGGCTTATCCCCCTGAAAGCATTTTTAGTAGAAGGAAGTCTGCTTTCCACTTCATGAAGAGCTGCCTTGAGAAACTGTAAGCATCTTTCCTTGACTGCCATAACAACATCCTTTGCCTTTACTGTATGACTGCTTTTGGAGACAAACGTGTTAGCCTCCATCAAAAATTTGGCACCGAAATCTATTTGTTCAATGGGCAGGCAATTACCCACGTTGTCAAGAACTCTGAGTTTTAAACTTCGGTAGTGCATGTCAAGCTCTTGTTCCATCTTTTCAGGATCTGCGTTGGTTGCTTGAAAGAATGAATTGACCTTCTCGAATTCAGATACAACTGGTGTAACAAATTGAATATACAAATAGTTCGCAGGATCTGCTAACATCTCTTGAATCATTCTGGCCTTGAATCGTGCATTTTGATCGCATTGAGATTCAGCAACAATGAAGTACGCCTTCAGTTCTTCCCAGTTCACTAAAAGGTTGTAGAGAAGCTTTCCTCGTACCAACCAACGGGTCGCACAAAATTTGGCAAACGGCAATGGGATTCCGGCACGCTCATTGTCTGGATTTATAGTATTGAAGAGTTCTTTGAATCCCTCCCTCCTTATGGTGCTTTTCGAAAACCATTTGGGCACTTCTTTTAAAAGGAATCCAAGGCTAGACGGTAATTTTTCAAAAGCATGCTGAATACAGAGGCTCAATGAATGGCAGATGCATTTTACCTGAATGCAATTGGGTGCCTCTTGCAAAATCCGGGACCACAGAGAGTTGCGCTCACCAATCATATTGGAGGCACCATCTGATCCATAACCAATACAATTGGCCAAATCCAAACCAAGACCAGCAAGGCAATCCTTCAACGCCTCAAATAAACTTTCACCCCTTGTACTTATAACAGGAACAAGGCCGGCAAATGCAGTGCAAATTTCACTTGAAGCATCGTCGAAGTAGCGTAAAAGAATGGCCATATGCTTATTAGCAGCAACGTCGGTTGATTCGTCGACAACTACAGAAAACTTTTGGTTTATTAAGCTTTCTTTCAGTTCTTCCTTAAGTGCAGGAGCAACAACGTTAGTCAATATTTTCGTGCATTTTCTTCGGTGGAGTCTAATGTTTCCAACAATGCTACCTTCTCCATTCCTCTTCATTATCTGTCCTAAATGATCGATAGAGTTGATAGCAGTGTGACAGGATATCCCAACTGACAACTCTATTTCAAACCTTTTTACATCTTCGCTTGGCTCTTTGGTTTAATTTGGAAGATTTGCAAAAGGCAAAGATTTTGTAGAGTTAGCGGCATTTATATTTTTTATATGCTTGTCTGACTTCTCATGATTGGCAAGGTTTGACGCTTTCGGTGTAATGGACTGGTGACATATTTTGCAAAATGCATTTTGTTTTCCATCCATGGATTGCTTCACCCATACGTATTTTTCTTCCCACGACTTTAAATACCGCCTTCCACTTTCGTACGAATTTTTCCACTTAGGCATTATTAAGGAGCTGGTTGAACACGTTATTCTGAATATCTGCCGATCGAATCGAATCTCTAATAATGATAACTGTAATTTTAAATTATGTAACTGACACGTGTTTTTTTTAGTTAAAACAATGACCACTTGTCTCTATTTCAAAGAGAACACTGCTTCCACAGTATGAACACCAAGAAAATACTCGTGGGAGCAACCGGGTGACAATTTGATTAAGTGGAAAAATCCCAGTTGCTGTATCAAGTGTTGAAAGACTGTAAGTGTCAGGTGCAAAATAATTGCATTAACAGGTTGACTTGTAAGACAATATCGCAATGGGATGTCGGCAAATAGCGAAACAATAAAACTATCGAAACAATAGAAATATCAACATTTTTGAGAAAAAAGCCAAAATTAAGCCAAATAATAGGTCTAAGCCAAAAAAAATTTCGGAAGCCAAACAAGTTGAAAAAAAGCCAAATTTTAAGAATTTGGCTTAAAAAAAGTCAATATACCAACCCTGGACCCCATAATCAACAAATAAGTTCGGCTGATCAGTTCCCACGTCTGTAGCTATGGGAACCAACTCCTGCACGCCATTCATTAATACTTATGGGCATTGGAAACAAAAGAGAACTCCTTGATCACGCTCGCTTTGTAAGTATTTGGAGGCAAACAAAGTAATAATTGAGAGAACAAAGCAGCAGTTGCATATTGGGGATAAAATTAACACAATTTAAAAAAAACAAGATAACATAACATGCTATTTAATGAACTGACCATGCACCTAGCTTTGGGGAGAAGCAGTTGTCTGCGTTATGGTACAAAATTTTGTCACATTTATCCTCCCTTGAACTTTAGATACTCAGGATTGTATTGGAAGGAAAAGGTTAGCTTTCAGGCAAATTCGTTGACTGACTGAACGTACTGCTGTCGACAGGGCTGAATTTTTCGGTCAAGAATTCCTTATTAGCTTCCATTCTATTGCTCTCCTTTCTTTTCAAATGTCCTCCCGCCGGACCCCTCTTGTTTTTGTTCATAGAAAATTTAACTCTCTTGCTACGGATGTTTTCTTACTATTTAGTTTCCACATTGACAGAAAGTTTGCAAAATCCCCCCTCTTTTAATTGCTAGGTAACACCAATTTACCCTATTTACTTTGTCACACCATCCCTTCCACTTTGTGATCCCCAAGAAACAGCCAGTAAAAAGCCACGTTTTAGCTATATTTTAACTTACTAATTGTACTTTTAGCTCGTCGTGCAATAATTATCGACATTCACGAGTACCAGCATCTCCCAAAATTGCCATCGAATAATTTCTCAAAGGAGCTGCAGAAATCTCTCAAGGATAATGGATGGTCAGGTAATTAATTTTTTGATCGATCAATGTTTTGATTTGCGTATTATTTTAATATTTAAGTCTTTTGATGATCGCATGGACCGTAGATATTGAAGCCAAGAATCCTTTTGTCCAAATACCCATAGCATTTTATGCATGTTGGATTATCATGTATATTTTATATATGTCTTGCAGTACTATTTATTGTGGAAAGTTAAAATTTTTTCATTATGAAAGTTCCACGTATTTTGATTTAAGAAATAGTTTTCTTTTATTGAAAGGTATTTCTGTATATTAAAAACTACAGAAATTTTACTGGCTGACCTTTTAGCATTTTTTAATCGTTAGAATATAGTGACTGGCAACTTTTGGTGTTTAGTATCGTCTTATTTTTTGCAAACAGTTGAACGCTTTGAAAATTTGCAAAAACGAAATCTGCTTAATGCAGTTGAAAGTTTCAAGAAGAATTGCGAAGATACGTTTGCTTTCATGTTTTACTTTGGACATTCAGTACAGGTAATTTGTGTTTTTTTTGCTTTTTCTTATTATCTTTCATAAAAATTCAATTTGTAAGTTATCGACAATAGCGCTCATTGAGAGATGTTTTATAGCCGTTTTCTTTTTTGATATTGATTTGACGACATGTTCATGGCTACATGGCTACATATTATAGAATAACAAACGTATCTTCAAATGTGTTAAAGAGTATGAATTGCTCGTTGTTTATGTAATTAGCATGCATTTTCCGAGATTTTTTTTTCTCCTTTTTGTTTGTATTTTTCGATCTTTTCAAACAGTATATAAAGATATACATGTTTATCTCATGTTTCATATTTCACTTTTTAAGACGTGTTTGCAAAAGAAGTAGTATAAAAACCCATCAACAGTTATATATTATTTGCAAAAAAATGAAAATAAATGTATTTTGACTTGGCCTGTTTTATTAATCAAATCGATTCTGATACCTTTGTTTAGATTGTAAAAGTTTCTATTCTACCTACTAAATAGATCCATGGAGAAAATTACATACTACCCGTTGAGCTACAACCACTGCACGCTAAAACAAATGGAAACTTGAAGAAATATGCTGTAGACCTCAATAAAATCCTGTCTGTGGTTGCCACGTCAAAGGTTGGTAATATATCATATTTGATATGGCAATAGTTTCGATATAAAAATTATTGCAGTTGGAGAAAAACCCAATGGAAGCAGCCTTTAAGACGGTGTAATTACAGTATCTGTTCGGAGT